GAGTGAACTTGGAAAAAATACCCACATCTGTAATTTTGAATTAGGCTTATGATTCCAAAGTTGACAGCTGACCCTGGCTGCTAGCGATGCTGAAGTCCAGTCTGTGCCAAAGCAGTGCCAGGGCAAATTATCCTGACTGAAAAGGTGAGAAACATCCAGAGAGAACAAGGTGGAATGAACACACACTGCTCAGGTCCTCAGAGAACTGAAAGGGTCAAGAAAGCTTAGGACAGTCAACATTCCTTTGGCACACCATGTCATACCCTTTGCTTTTGTAATGAGAGACAACTCATAGCTCTGGACGAACCAAAGAGACTGACTTCAGGTGGCACCTTGGCACAAATGAAGGAGTGCAATTGGAAGTATTATCATGAGGTATTTGTCAAGCTTCTGCCCCATTCATGATAACCTAAGCAAAAATGCTTATTTTGAGTCATGATTTCAGCCAAATATTTTGAGTAGAAAATTTAAGCATGTCTCCTCTGAAAAGCATTTTGGCAACTGAAGTTGTAGAAAAGATCTGACATTAACTTTTTGACTGTAGTTTAAAAGAAATAAATTAATAAAAGAGCCATTTTTTTCACCCGTCTAGTCAGCTGCATTTTTAATTTAAAATATTTTTTAGGCTGCCTTTGAAGGGTGGAACCCTCTCAGGGCAGTGTACAAGATAAAAACCATATGAAGTGGATACAATAAAAACCATTGAGTACATATTGAATAAAAAGCCATAAAAACAGATTACAAATACAAATAATTAGGAAAAAAATACCAATAAATCCTGCAAAGATGTTCTGAAAGCCAGAGAAGTGCCTTCATCAACCCTTGACTGAAGCTGCTTCCACAGGCATTGAGTTCACTTCTGAAAAGGTCCTCTTCCTTATATTCACCAGCCTAACCAGTTTTGGCAGATGACTAATGAGAAAGGCCTCTATTGATGACCTCAGATTAAAGGTTAAATAATCAATTTTTCATCCTACTGAACATTTGCTCTCAGTATTCATTAATTTTCCTGTTTTAGACAGGAAACAAGAGAGACAATATTATCTTGTTCTGCATTCAGCACACAAGAAGCAACTCTGGCCAATTTAAGCAGGCTTCTGCTTCTATGTATCAGTTGTTTAGTACTTGCAGAACAGCATAAGTTTGTGTTATACTGCAAGTTGCTTTTGAAGCAGAGAAGATTTTCAAATACAGTTTGCAATACACTATGACGGCCAACTGTTCAAAAGGAAGAATAACAGGGAAGGAATCTACTGGGATACCACACAGCCCCTGCCTGAGCGTAAGCAGCTTTATGGATCCCAGCCACAGGCAAAATGGAAAAGATTTGTTCCAGTTGATCCAACCATCTGTAATAAATAAGTTAGGCAGGAAGAAGAAGAACACAGGGAAATGAAGCTTTCCTGAGTCATAGGTGGATTCCCTTTCCACTGGCAGGATAAAGTCCAGTCTTCACAGTACAGTCCAATATGTATGCTTTCTGTCATCATCCTCAGAACTGAATTCATATTAGGTTTACCTTCAGCATTATACTGAATTGCAGGGTATGCAGCCCTTGTCCTCAAAATTCATTCATATGCATTGCAGCCATAATCTAGCTTTGTGGTAGTGTTCTACTGTTGAAGTGGTTAGCTAGTATTTTTTTAAAATACACTTTCATGAAGGAGAATTTGCTTTATTTCTGGAAGATATGCAACTAGATAAATTTTGGAAAATTAAGAAACCTTTACATTTTGATAGTGGATCCATACCACATTAACTGCTGATGCACTGATCCTTCTTATGGCTAGCAATTCCTCTTAATGTTACATTAAAAAATTCTAGGATCAAGCAACTCCACATAGGATTGATTCAAATGCAACACTAAACATTAAATGAATAAGCCTGGGCAAGCCTTGGGCTCATAGATGCCTTCCTTCCCTACCCTCTTCTAGCACTGCTCCAAGCTTAGACACTTCTACTACCATGAACCCCACAAAATGCAGCTTAAAAGAGAAATCAGTTTTAAGTATACAGTTCCCTCTGGTGGCCAAGAAGCAGCAATGAGCTTTTTTTCTTTGAATGCAACAAGACCTCTGGGACATCAGATGTTGTCTTTTGTGCAATTGGAGAAATGGGGAAGATTGATGGGAACCAGGTGCTTTACGAAGTCATCATAGAGGTTCACCCAGTAGCCTCTGCAGATGCTCTTGGAGGGTGACTCACCCTTTCACAAATTTATATTTTTTGTGAAGCTGCATCATACTGTTCTGCAGGGAAAAGTAACAAACAGTGCATTGCACTATTCTTGTTAATTTACCCTGGCTTCCAGCTCACTTCTAGTTGGTCCTAATTCAAGTGCTTGTTGTTATAACCTAATTGAAATCCCTATGTACCTGAAATAGTACTTTGCTCATATAGTTCCCCCTTCCCAAATTTGAAAGCAGACAATTTCCTCCAAATTCCCTCCTTATCAGAGGCAAAATTAACAGGAATTCAGACCAGGGCCTTCTTACTAGTTGTGCTCACCCTTTAGTTGATCAATATGTCCAAGGAACTCCGCCTTACAATATCTCTATATTATTTTCACATTTGAATTAAAGTTCTGTTCTGAGCATGCTTCTAAGGAGATTGGCTAGCTACTCAGTTATGATTTATTTCTTATGCATTTGCATGGTTTGTTTTTCTACTGTCTTTATTTGATGTCATTATACAACATGGTTATTTTGAACAGAGGTGTTATATATCCACGCTTTAATCAGAAATATGGTAAGTAGCTATAAGTTTAACCACAAATATCATAAAATGAG